AGACCGACTTCTTCTGCCTACCTTTCTGACCATAGTATTGGCAAAGCGCTCCTGCGTCATGTTGGTAGAGATATTTCATTTCATGCTCTCAAGAGCGGTACGCGCATCGTCACTGTCCAGAATGCTACCCAAGCTCATGATCTTTCTCTCCTTTCGAATATCGATACTACTCCTGTCACTATTGAAAAACATCTTTCTCTCAATTCTTGTAGTGGTACTGTCATTCTGCCCCATACCATAGTCCAACAGAATTTCCAGTCATGTGGCAATGACATTCTTGAACAGCTGGAACTCCAGGATCTCCCAATCCTCAAAGTAGACACTTATGTCCTTCCTGCCCGTGGGCGGAGACGTTACCCTTGCAATGTGGCTCGTTTAACTTTTGACAGCCGAGAACTCCTGTCTTCTGTATATGTCGCGGGACATCAGTTACAAGTTCGAAAGGTGATACCTACACCGCAACAGTGTAGAAATTGCTGGTGTTTTGGTCACCCAGCGAAATATTGCAGATCTACAGCCGAATGCCCAGTCTGTGGTGCCGACGACCATTCTAATACATCTTGCAGTCAACCTCCATCTTGCCTTAATTGTAATGAAGCTCACCCTTCGTACTCCCGACGTTGCCAGGTCTACTTAAATGAACGTGAAATCCGTTGCCTCAAAGAGGCAGGTCTCCCTTATGCTATGGCAGTTACTCATCTCCGCCTCCAAGGGAGACTACCCCGTGTTTCTTATTCTCGTGTTTCAAAACATCCCCCCACTTCTGGGGTCCCATCTTCTGCAGCCTCCTCTGTTGTTACCCCTCCCAGAGCCACTCCGGCATCTAATCCTTTTGCTGTCCTTGGCTCTGACGTCCCGACTACAATTCAGTCTGTTCTTACATCTTCGCGTCCTTCCTCACAAGCCCCAGTATCGACAAGACCTCGTACGACACCTCATACCAATTGCCCCTCTACTTCTCAGAAGTCCAAAAAATCCACATTGCTCAAATCTTCTTTGCCCCTTCCTTCCCTTCTTCCACCTCCACACTTTACCTCTCCAGTCTCTGGGCGTAGTTCTTCCCCTCTCTCTGGCTCTATTACAAGTGTGGAGATTCACCCTCCTCCTCGTACTATGCCTTCCACCCCCGTCCCCTCTCAAGTTTCTGCCTCTTCTGCCACCTCCCAGGTTTCTGCCTCTTCTGTCCCCCCCCCCGCACTTCATCTCCAGTCCCTTACACTCTTTCCTCCCCCTCTACTTTGGTACAGTCCATTACTGTCCCAATCTTTACTCACCCTCCCCCTTCTATCTCCAATATGGTCTCCCATACATCTTTGAATTCAGAAACACTTGAAGCCATTTCAGAATATATTGCAGAGACTAAACCTTCAATGGACACTGATTCACTTCCTGTTCCTTCTCTTCCCTCTTCTCCATCTTCACAACCCCATTCTTCGCAACGCTCTGTTCCTTCGCTGCTTGAACATCTTCCAATGCCACCACACGTTGACTTTTCTAACCCCTCTAGTCCGTAGGTGCCTTTCCCTACGGATTCCTGGTATTTTCTTCATCGCCAATCATGGCCTATTTACAGTGGAATATCCGCGGCCTCAGGGGTAATCGGGGCGAGCTTCAGATGTTACTTTCCAGGTTTTCCCCTGTTGGTGCTTGCTTACAAGAACCAAAATTACACTCGGCTGTTTTCCAACCTATCTCAGGCTATAATTTATTGCATTCTTCGGATCCTTTCTCAGATGGGACCTTTAATGAAAGTGCCCTTCTTCTACGCAATGATATTCCGTACTGTCAACTATTTGTCCATACCTCGCTGCATTACACTGCAGCCCGTATCCACTTGAATAAGTGGTTTACAATATGTGCTTTATATCTCTCTCCTTCTCGAGCATTTTCTATCCCAGACTTTGCCTTTCTTGTTTCATCCTTACCACCACCACCACTTCTGTTACTTGGTGATTTTAATGCCCACCATTTCCTCTGGGGGGGGGGGTCTCATTGTGACTCACGTGGCGTCCAGTTGGAGGCTTTTCTCGCCTCTCACCCCCTCCATGTTTTAAATACGGGTACTCCCACCCATTTTGATCCTCGTACTCATTCTCTCTCTTGCATCGATCTATCAGTCTGCTCTTCCTCCACTGCACTAGACTTCACCTGGTCTGTTCTACCGGACTTACATGACAGCGATCATTTTCCAATCATTCTTACTTCCCCTTCCTATTCACCACCTTTCCGTAGCCCTCGCTGGCAATTTGATCGGGCAAATTGGGATCTTTACTCACACCTCACTGCTTTTAGTGAGGTTCCTTCTTCATCCTCCATTGATGAGCTCCTACACCTCTTCTCGACGTCAGTTTATACCGCAGCTTCTCATTCTATACCCCAAACCTCAGGCAGGCATTCTCAGAAGTGCATGCCTTGGTGGTCTCCTGCTTGTGCTCGTGCAGTACGTTTGAAACACGCTGCATGGGGCAGGTACCGGTACAATAGAACCGCTGAGAGACTTCTTGATTTTAAACAGAAGCGTGCGATCGCTCGCCGTGTCATCCATGAAGCTAAACGCACTTGTTGTCGAGACTATGTTTCCACCATCACCTCTGCTTCTTCTATGAGTGCAGTCTGGAAAAAAGTGAGGAAATTGAGTGGTAAATACTCTCCTGACCCGGCTCCTGTTCTACAGGTCGCTGGTGTTGATGTAGCAAACCCTCTCGACGTTGCCATTGAACTTGGCACACATCTGGTCTGTATTTCCCAGGGGCTCCATCTATGCCCCTCGTTTCTTTCCTCAAAGTCTGCCAGAGAGTTAGTACCCTTGGACTTTTCTTCTCTCAGAGAAGAACAGTATAATGTGCCTTTTACACTTCAAGAACTAGAGACAACGCTCTCAGCTTGCCGATCATTGGCAGCTGGGCCAGACGACATTCATATTCGTATGTTAGAACATTTACATCGGTCAGCCCTTGAAGTCCTCTTACACCTCTTCAATCTTATTTGGGCACAAGGAGTTCTTCCCCAGCTGTGGAAATCTGCCATTGTTCTCCCTTTCCGCAAACCGGGTACTACAGGACATGATGCCTCCCACTATCGTCCCATCGCTCTTACTAGTGCAGTTTGCAAAGTGATGGAACGTCTCGTAAATCGACGTTTAATGTGGTATTTAGAGACACACAACAGTCTCTCCGCTAGTCAATATGGCTTTCGTAAGGGTCGTTCTACCATAGACCCCTTACTATGCTTGGATACGTATGTTCGTAATGCCTTTGCGAATAATCACTCAGTTATTGCCATATTTTTTGACCTTGAGAAGGCATATGACACAACTTGGAGGTATAATATTTTGGCCCAGGCCCATTCCTTAGGCCTCCGAGGCAATCTACCATCCTTCCTTAAGAACTTTTTAACTGACAGACATTTCCGTGTTCGAGTCAATAATGTTCTTTCCCCGGACTTTGTCCAAGCTGAAGGTGTCTCTCAGGGATGTGTTCTAAGCACAACACTTTTTCTCCTTGCTATAAATGATTTGGCCTCTGTTCTTCCACCCAATATTTGGTCATCACTCTATGTTGATGACTTCGCTATTGCTTGTGCAGGCGCTGACTGTCATCTTATTGCAGTTTCTCTCCAGTATGCGGTCGACCGTGTTTCCACTTGGGCCACCACGCATGGGTTTAAATTTTCAAGTACCAAAACTCACCAAATTACTTTCACTAGACGCTCTGTCATCTCCGATCGTCCTTTGCATCTCTATGGCTCCCGTATCCCAAACGTGATACAGTCAGGTTTCTAGGCCTTCTCTTTGACCGTAGGTTATCCTGGAAACCTCACATTACCTCTCTGAAGGCAACTTGTCACAGCTGGCTAAACCTTCTTAAAACCCTTGCTCATCTTTCCTGGGGAGCTGATCGTCAAACTCTGCTTCGCCTACATTCAGCCCTCGTTTTATCGAAACTCGATTATGGTGACCAGATTTATTCCGTGGCCTCTCCTGCTACTCTCTCTAGCCTTAACTCTATCCATCACCAAGGATTACATTTGTGCCTTGGTGCTTTTCGCTCTTCCCCTGTTGAGAGCCTCTATGCAGAAGCGAATGTTCCATCCTTGTCTGATCGCCGTGATGCCCATTGCCTTCACTACTATGTACGCTCTCACGATCTCCACAATCCTTCCATTTATAGAATGGTCACCGATATTAGTAGACATTCTTCATTCGTTAGCTGCCCCTGTTTGCTCCGTCCCTTTTCTCTTCGCCTACATTCACTCTTGTCTTCCCTTCAGTTACCACCTTTATATGTTCATGTAGCATCTCACTTTTCCCTACCCCCCTGGGAAGTTCCAGCTGTTCGGGTCTGTTCTTTCTCACTCCCTTACTCGAAAGCTCAACTGCCTACGGTGGCTTCCCGCTCTCTTTTTCTTGATCACTTCCACTTCCATTCTCATGCCACTGCTGTGTACACAGATGGCTCTAAGTCTTCAGACGGCGTCGGATTCGCAGCAGTGTTTCCGGACAGCGTCGTGCGGGGGCATTTACTATCTTCGGCTAGCATTTTTACTGCTGAACTGTATGCCATTCTTGCAGCACTTATTCGTATCGCATCTATGCCTGTGTCATCATTTGTGGTAGTCTCAGACTCCCTTATTGCTCTACAGGCTATACGAAAATTTGATACATCTCACCCCCTTAGCGCTTCTTTTTGATTATAATAATAATAATAATAATAATAATAATATAAACTTTTGTGTGCTGGAACACACTTAATATAGCCTGGACTTTCCTATAAATGATTTTAAAAAAACTTATCCCCTAAGTAAGTTTTTTAAAATTTTGTAGCACTTATTTCCCAGAGTAGAGGAAGAATTGACAATTAATTTATTCTATATTTTTATATTTATTGACTCCTGTTGAAGTATAGTAAAAGCAAGCATTCATGTCTGTTTAATACTTGGTATACTATTTTGATAAAATTATCTCAGCTTTCTGAAATTAATCTTGGTGTTAATTCTTGCAGATGAACCGCCGACACTATGAGAGCTACATTTGCAAAAGAGTGCCAGGGAAGCAAGCAGTGGTGGTGATGGCATGCGATAATCGTCATATGAATGATGATATGCTTCTTGATCCAGGACTGGTAATGATCTTTGCCCATGGTATAGAATAAGAAGCAGTGAGTGTGGCTGGTGCTATATATGAATTTAGATTATGTCATTATTATTTTCTCTTTATGCTCTTTGATTTTTTGTGTATGAAATGGCTACAGCCTATGCATAATAAACTAATGTACATTGGATTTGATTCATGATTAATTGGGAAAATTTAATGTTGAAGTTTTATTTTGTATTGCCATTGTTTTAAATTTAGCAAGTTTTGTCTCTTTAGTTTATTAAAAATCAAAAGGAATATAAAATTGTCTATCAAAGCTGAGCTTAGATTTGTATATTGGTTGAAAGTGCATTATTGCTACCTATATTTCATTTCTCTGGCATTTAAACAAAAAGACAGTAAATTAATCTGTTTAATATTTTAGTGGCTAATTTGTCCTGCAGGATTCTTTTATGCTCGCCTGTGATAGCCATTTGTAAGTGGTTATTAATTTGACTCATACTGAAATTAAGTTTTAGATATACATAGTATCTGAAATGTCTACTGCTTTGCAGTGTTCATTTTAACATTGGCAACTAGAAATATGGTGGTGTGGTGAAGCTACTGTTAGGTGTTGCATTCCAACTGTCTTATGAATTGTACTCTTGTTGCTGATGATGTTCACACAACTCATCACCTATAATTTGTATTGTCAGGCTGAATTACTATGCAGCTTACTACTGGGAACAAATACAAATTATGATCAGTTTATTAAACTGGGTGTGCAATGTATAGTTTTACTTTCATGTCTCTTGTTTACATAAATTGTATTTGCCTTGTCTTGTATGGAATGTGGAAATTTTTTACTTGAAACAAATAGCATTCCATATAATTTTTTTAATGATATTTTTAAAAAATAAAATGAAAAATTAATGCAATAGGTTTATTAACTCATACTGATGTAGAAAATTAGACTATCAGTTTTTTCTGTGGTTAAGATTGTGTTTATTGACAAAAAAAAAAATTGTTTATGTGATTGTCCCAAGATTCAGGAGGTTTATATATGCTATGAGAACTACTCTGAAAAAAGGAAGAGGCATATTGGATATTTGATATGCATTATTAGATCTCTTATATTGATATTCTTTACTCTATTAATAATTTAGTTAATTAATTAGCAATAATTTAGGACTTAAATATATTTAATGTATATATTGTATTTCAAGATAACGTGTTTATATATTTGTAATTATTTTTATGTTTAATGTTTTGTTTATCAGTGAGTGAGTCTGACCCTTTCATGTTTAGCCCTTAATTGGATTATTATTATTATTATTGTGAGTATTGTTTGTCAAGTTTTGTATCTTAGGGGAAAGGGGACAAGAGAGAATACAGGAATTATTGAGGAATAAACTTAATGAGTATACCAGGTAAATCTTATGATAGAATTATTTTGAAAAGATTAGGGTTAGACAGAAAGTATGATTACAGAGGAGCAGGGAGGATTTAGGAAAGGTAGGGGAAGTGTTGACAAAGTGTTTACACTGATGCATATAAGTAAGTAGTGCTTAGATAAGGGTAAAGAGCTGGTTGTTACATTTATGGATTTAGAAAAGGCATATGATAGGGAGGATAAGAGAGCCATGTAGCAGATGTTGCATATGTATGAAATTGGAAGTAGGTTAGTAAAAGCAGTAAATAGTTTTTGTGCAGAGAGTGAGAGGTTACTCTTTCTTAGTTAAAGTAAGACTTAGATGGGCTGCATGATGTCACCATGGTTGTTTAGCATATTTATATATGAGGTTGTAAAAAAAAAGCAAATATGTACTGCAGTGTTTGGAAGGGGTGTGGGATTCAAAAATGTTGGATCTGATACAAAGTGGGAATTATAACAGTTGCTCTTTGCTGGCGACACTATTCTGTTAGGGGATTCCGAAGGTAAATTACAATGGTTGGTGGATGAATTTGGGCGGATATATAAAGGAGGGGTTTGGGATATTGACAGTTTGGAGGGACTTCTAAACCGTCGTATCTGAGCGCCTCTGCAAAGACAGTGAATATGTATGAATGAGGTGAAAGTGTTGAATGATGAAAAGTATTTTCTTTTTGGGTCACCCTGCCTCGGTGGGAGACAGCTGACTTGTTAAAAAAAAAAAAAAAAAAATAAATAAAAAGGAAATTGGTTCATTTTTTTTTATAAAAGTTCTTGGTGTACTCCAGGTATACTGTCATTCTTTTGAAAAGCAAACTCTTGCATTATCAGTGTGACTTAACACTTCTTGTATTCAAAATCATTGTGTTCACCAAGAAACGAATTCACACCAATATATGATATATTTTGTGCTTTCGCCAGAAAGGTTCATGTTCTATGAGCTGCCATTATCCAACAAGTCATGTTGATCTTTACATAGAATATTTTGAATATAACATTCAATATTGCCAAAATTTAAGTCCTAGGACACAATATGATATAAGCATGTTTAACACACTTTCTTGGAAAATTTAACTGATGTAGTTCTGAGCATTAATTCAAGTTGAAGTGGTAGTGGTAGAAAGTGGTAAAATAAAAACAGCATATTAGAATCCAATGTTTGCTGCAAATCTACACGTTCTGTCAATTATTTACATAATGTCACCATTATGACCAGATTAATCCTTTCACCACATCAGCGTCTTTTTTATAAAAAATTAAACTTCTCATATTATCTTTTGCTTTATTTACTCAATAAGCAGAAACCATGAGGTCTTTATATTTGGCATTTATTTTCCCTAAAAACTATTAAATAATTAATTTTAAGTAGATTGTATTGTTTTATAAAAGTACAGGAAGGCCCCGCTTTACGGCGTTTCACTTTACGGCGTTCCGCTAATACGGACATTTCAAATTATGACCAAAACTCTCTATACGGCTCCCCCCACCTGACTTTCTAATATGGTCACCGTGCCCCACCCTGTTTGTTTACATTCTCCATGAGCTCAGTAAGCACTAAGTCTCTCCATTTTGTCTGGAAACTCCAAAATTTCAAATGTTTTTAAAAGTTATTTCATATTTTATATATACTCTGATAATTATACTTATGTATACCTGTACCTAAATAAACTTACATACTGTGCTGGCATGCAGGTACACATTAAAATTGGTAAGTGTCTTATGTCTCCAGACGTCATATTAGTAATGATAATAATAATCATCGAGTCATTTAAATGTCGTATATTACGTTAATATACACATTTTCATTAATCCATCCATGATATTTTTTTCAAAATTATATAATAAACACGATGCATAACATATAAATAAGATAAATACACCCCACAGTAGAATAAATAAACATAAATGTGAGATGTGGTAGCAGACGACTTGCACAAGTAACGCCATATTAGAAATGATAATAATAATAACAATACTCACCGAGTCTCATTAAATGTCGTATATTACGTTAATACACACATTTTCATTAATACATCCATGATATTTTTTTTCAAAATTATATAATAAACACGATACATAACATAAAAAGATGATAAATACACCCCACAATAGAATAAATAAACATAAATATAAGATGTGGGAGCCACATAACTTGTACAAGTGATGGCAAGAATAACATTTTCTCTAATCTAACATAAGAGAAAATGTGTTACTGGGGGTAACTGTAGAAAATTATTCCTTTCGTATGTATGTAAGTAAGTTTATTCAGGTATACACAAATACAGTTACATAGATTATCATACATAACAACATACGTGTAGAGAACCTAGGATAACCCAAAAAAGTCAGTGTGACTTATTTCCATTGCCTTCACTCAGAGCTTCATTTCTTCTCAAAATGATGTTACATGAGAATGGGAGTGTTCTTCTTTATTAATTCTACCGTATCAATGTAGAGACAACCTGTACACAATGTAACTTGTACACAAACCAGACGTGTACACTTCGTTTGTTTACTAAACTTACGTTCGCCTGGTTTGTTTACATAACTCTGCGCCTGTCCCCTCTCATGTACTCATTCTTTCTCTCTCTCATTTTTCGTTTTATCTCATTTACTTACTCCTGACCCTACATTAAGACTACAAATATTTTAAGGTAAGTAATGAGTGAACTGTATATACATTTTATCGCTCTGGGATGCTTAAATATCATAGAATAGTATGTGTGGGTGGGGTGGCCTGGTAAGGTAGCCTGGCTATTACCATACATACCACACTTGATTTCTTACAATAAATACTACTTGTCTCACCCTAGATTAAGACTATAAATATTTTAAGGTAAGTAATGAGTGCACTATGTGTGTATTGTACTTTTTTATTGTTTTTTGATGCCTGGTTCTATTGCTAACTTAATATATGTTAGTGTAAACTTGTTATCTAGTGTTTGTATGCATTTATAAGTGGAAAAAAAGGGTGTTCCACTTTACGGCGGTTTCCGCTTTACGGCGGTAGCCTGGAACCTAACCTGCCGTATAAGTGGGGCCCTCCTGTATATTGTTGTTGGTACAGTATGTTAAACACACAATTCTTGCATTATAGAACTTAGAACACTATAATCCCTCAGTTTATATATAAAAAATATTACAGAGCCCTTTATACTATTACATATAAAGAAAATCCTAACACAACTCTTCATGTGTATAAGGAAAACCATAACAATCTCTGATTTTATATATAAAGAAAACAAAGCTTTTCAAAGCAATGAATCTTCTACTGCTTTAAAATAATTATGGTTTTCATTTTATATACAAAAACTCAAACTAAAAGAAATTTTCAAGGATTCAATCTTTTCAAATACATATATGGGTAAAGAACACACACAAAGAATATTGCATGATTGTGTGTGGTGGTGGGTCATTATTCATCCATCTAGCGTGAATCAGTTTAGCAAGTTTATCTGTTCTGCTTATATTCTAGATACATCACATTATAATAGGTTTCTGTTACAGTGTACATTTATTTTAACAGTTGTTTTCTGCCAAGGCAGGGAAGCCTAGTAGATGACAAATGAAAAAATTTAACCTAAGGGAGGTTTTCAATTTTTTTTTTTTCCATCATGAATTTGTGGCATACTTTACATTATATACATACATTCAACAGATAATCTACTGACTAAATGTATGAAAATAGTGCTTTGTTTATTGAAAAAAAGGAATATGGTATTTAAATGATTACAGAGCTGCACACATGCATGGATTGGTAGTATTAATTGAGTAATAGGGGGGCCTAGTTTTCCACCTCATCTCTCAACTCGCCTTGGTTCTGGAGACCATCTGGTTACATATGCCTCACACAAGTACCAGTTAATGCTTGTGCAAATCACAACATTTGGCTAATGGCCATTTGAGCTGTGATGAATTAGGATTTGATTGTGTATTTCAGACCTTACTGGGCTATCTTAGGTGAATGATAGTGATTGGTGTGCCATATTCCAGTGCAACCCCCTATGGCCCTTTATACAGAAATATACTTTTCATGGTACCTGCTCTCTTGAAATGTACAGCAGAACTACTGTGCTCACACATTGCAATGCCTGTCACACACTACCTTGACAAAAGGCACCAGCTCTTCCATTATCTTCCAAGTATTTATTAAAATTTACAGTACTTTACATCTCCAGTCTGCTTGTAATAAAGTTGGTAGAATTACCGACAATATGTAAAGTAAAAGGACACAAGTGCAACTAATGTGACATTTTTATTGTGGCAACGTTTCACTCTTCAGGAGCTTTGTCAAGCCGTAACGGCTTGACAAAGCCCCTGGAGAGTGAAATGTTGCCACAATAAAAATGTCACATT